ACAGAATGGAATCTCATCACAGAAGTAGCATTTCTCCACAGTTAAAGGTGGTTGAACTGAACTTGATTTATTAAAAATAGCTATTTTATTTTAGCTAACTTTCCTTATATAAAATCTGATGTTGAACAGAAGTCGTCTCATTACAGCGGGTCAATCTGTTCAATTGATTTAGGATCCACAGTTAGATCCCCGACCCTGCGAGGACGATTCTCTTTCCTGAATGTAACTCACTCTAGAGAAATGTTTCTCTCTGCAGCCTGTAACCATCTGAGGCTACATTCACACTGCAGCTCCTGTCGAGTTTGCTTGGTTGCAACTGGACTTCTTCTTGGAGCTTGAAAGACGATTCATTCCTCAACTGAGGAACTTCATCAGTTTCTGGTTGATGTAAGAGGGTTTTACTTCTCTAGACCACTCCCTTCTCCAGTTGACAAAGGATTGAAGTGGAGAAGTGTGTCACAGACTGACAGACAGGCCTCTGAATGCTGCAGTTCGACCCTACACTGTGGCCCTGTGCTTGAAAGGACTAAAAGGTTGAAGAAAAGATGCCAACAGAAACTTTACTTCATTAGGATGTTGGAGAAGGCCCGACTGAAATGTCAACTCCTCATCCCACGTCCTCAAAGGACTTGTTGAGAGCGTCTTCAACAGGGGTATCACAAAGTGGTAAGAAAACACCATCCCGGCTGAGAGAGGGCCATCAAACCTGCTGAGGGGGGTCATTGACTCAGAACTCACCTCCATGGACACAATGTCCCACCAGCACTGCAGCAGATGAGCACAGAGCGTCCTCAAGGACACACAGCAGATAGCTCATGCTCTGTTCCAGTGGGTGGGCTCAGGCTACAGTTATTGCAGTGCTTCTGTTAGCACTCACACAGACCTGCTTCTTGATGGCTTTTCCAAGCCATTCTTAGTGTTAGTGATGGTCACACTGGACAAGAATGTAAAATACAACAACCTTTTTTTTTTCTTAAGATCAGTCCCAACTCCAATTAGTAAATATTTTAAACAGATGCATAGGAACATCTCACCATGTTTACCTGGTGTTGCTATTTTCTGTATATTTATTAGATCATTTGATTGAATGGATTTGTGGAATTAATCAGCACATACATTTACTCACACGGTCATAGAAGTTATATGAGTTATATTGACCATCTTAAATGCCCGGCTTGTGTTTGTTGAGGCTTCACCTTCATGTCGGACGCCTCTGGCTTGCATCAGATGAGCAAAGGGCAGTAAATAGTTGTACAACTGACATATTTTCTTGCCAGTTTTGGACTTTAAACCTACTTTACTGTTGAAAGAAAGTCAGGTAAATATTTGCAGATTTAAAAACAAACAAACAAATGCATCGTAGGAAGCTGAGCACAGTGCATCTGTTAACGTTACGTTACAGTGGTACTCTACAGACACTCATAAACATTAAAACATGTTTTTGTTGGTAACTGATGCCGGGACAGAGCAGGTCAGAAAGATAAAGAGAGAAATGACGAAACCTAATCTCTCTTCAGAGGCTTGTGTAAAAATTTGTTCTGCTGACAGCCTCGTCATTTATTCAACAGTGAGAGACAACAAACACCTGTGCTGTGTCTGCATGAACACACACCAATAACTTATTGTGGAACCACAGACCGGACAGGAATTCATGTCTCAGTATTAGACAGAGGACAAAAACACCTGACAGCCAGGAGCAGCAGGTGGCCAACAGATGAGACGTTCTGGTAGGACATCACAGCTGTCCACTAACGTGCAGCGGGCAGCTAACAGTGATGTTCACCTATTGCTTTGTTATACTGAAGCTGATCACATTATTTTAGCTTCCTCAACTTAACAACGGCTGTTACTGCTGCAGTACCCCCGGTGGACAGAAAGATACTCTGCAGGTCCAGAAACCATCCACTCCAGTTACATCCTTCAAGAACATTGTTTCCTGAAGGAGCTATGTGAAACTTGAGAAGTTAAATAATATCAATTGTGGCTTTGTATTGTTTTGTTCTCTTTCCAGTTATTTAGAAGTGCTTTATCCTCCTGAAGTTTAATCCTCTTTTCATTTAGCCCCAGCCACCACAAACCCAGCAAATACAATAGTGGCTGTAAAGAGTATGAGTCCATCAGTCCATTTTCTCCAGAGCCAGCTTTTTTTTTTTCTAAACATAGTGTGTTGTTCTACTGAGTTGTTCAGAGACGTGACACTGAAGGTTATTTCTGACTCGGTTTACTAACAGTAACAGTAGCCCAGACGTGATCTGTGTGGAGCTGCCCCAAGCCCATAGGGGGATGTGTAGTTGGGCCTGGGGGCAGTTCACTGGTATATCCACCTGCTGTTGACCTCATGGTGCATTAGCAGGTTGGGCCCCTGGGCTTATTAGCAAGTGGCTGCTACCAGATATGGGTTTAGGAAACTGTCTAAGTGAGTGACATATGAGATGTTTTTTAAATAATGAGGGCAGCTTTTTGAGTTATGAATGAGTTAAGTTCTTGTTTTTTTCTAATAAAACAGCTGTTTATATATTTTTGTCATATATATTTACATTGATCACAAAAATACTAGAACATATTGCAGTTTAATTCCAACATAACAGAACATATATTTAAATTAAAACCCTACTGTACATTAGTAACAGGTCAGATGTAAAAAGCTGTCTTAGCGCCACCTTCTGGGTCTATTTTTACCGTATTTTCCACCATGATGATGGTTGACCTGGAAGACATGTCAGAGAAATCGTCCTGAAAGAACAGGTTCAATGGAAGACTAAAGAAAATACAGCTGCCTGTCACTGTTTCAAAGAAGAAATGTATTCAAATATAGTATTTAGACCCTCTTCAATATTACCTAATACATACATCCTATTGAATATAGGATACTGATAAAAATCATGTGGAATTCATGGCGTGTACCTGTCAGTAGACCAGTCCAGTGCGTTGTTTTGGGAGTGTAGTTTTGAAGATTGAACAGAACAGTGTTGGACAGTTGTTTCTTATTCCCAGGCACCAGGTCAGCAATGTTTACTTCTGGTTTCTAACCTTATAGTTCCTTAGGTTTCTTAACGTATACTTGGTGTACAAGCTCAGGTGAGTGAATAAACATGTTCTGCTGAATTATTCTTGTACGCTTGTAGACAATCTTGGTTTCTACAGTCATATATATTCTGTGGTGGGTCGTCTAATATTCGGTATTCGCCTCAGAACCAGGAATTGCAAATAAGAACATTTCTAGAGGTGAGAGACGTGAGAAACGTGTTATTTATTTAATCGAGTTTTAATCTAAATGCCATTTTATGTTCCATGTTTGGTGTCTTCTTATGCTGTCGACAACACTCTTTGAGGATTTGGAACAGAGTTGAAACCCTCGTCAGTTGGTTTCATGGGAGTCGTCATTTAATCATTGATTAATTTAATGAGTAAAGATTTCACACTGTGAAACATCCGTTCTCGGCTGTGTCAGGTACCTGAAATTATTACTTCCCTGTTGCACATTTCTCTTTTTCACCTTTTTATCAACATGACATTTAACCAAGCGTGTGAGCCAATGAAAGCCCGGTGTTTAACACACAACCTGCCCCCTCGCCCGCATCCCCACAGCGTAATGTGATTTTAAAGCTGCTTTCAATCCCATTCTGTTATTCTGGAGGGATTATGTCCCTGCTGCAAACATTGTGTTGTACAACAATGGTGGAGAACTGAACTGGATTTGCATGTGTGTGTTATATAAAAGTCATATGGCTGTGGCCAATTCCCTCCTCCCCCTGTGGTTAAGCCTCCCACCTGACTGACCTTTACAGATGATGTGATTGAATGGGATATTTGGTTCAACTCATTTACGCTTGATTTGAAAAGTAAAAATAATTCCAAAGCGGTTTAGAAATGGACAACTGGACTGTCTTGGTCTCCATCTCACCATGACACCTGTCAGTGGATCTGGGCGTGGTCATTTCTAGGAATCCAGCCATCCACTGTCCATTTTCTTAACTGCCATGGGTAAAATGACGTAGATGACTGAGAACCTACAGTGACATAAAGTAATTCCACTGAATTATGTTCAAGACCTTTAAAAATGAGGCCAGTTCTCAGGCTTGAATTCCACTGCTTAAATGGACCAAATAGAGTTTGTAATTGGATCTACCTTCATGTAAAGATTTTTTTTAACTGCTTCTGGGGGAAGTGAGAGAAACTAATTTATATCTCTGCCACTGACTTTGTGTCTCCCTTACAAACACCCTGTCCTAAACTTCTCCCTTTTTCTTTTTTCCATTCTCCAGGTGTCTGGATCATTGATTCAAGCCCAGACAGGAGCAGAAGGAAGCGATAAAGAGGAGGACAATGGGTTCAAGTTTGAACCAGGAAGTAGGCTGGCTTCTGCCCTTGCTATTCTTGCTACTAATGTCCACAGTATCACCTGCCCAAAGCCAAGGTTGTCCCCAACGATGTGAGTGCATGTCAAAGCCCAAGACTGTATCCTGTTTTGGCAAACGTTTGTCCTCAATACCAGAAGGCGTCCCCCTGGACACCAAGGTTCTAGATTTAAGAGGAAATAAACTCCGCTGGGTGGAACGGGGTGACCTGCTTCCATATGCACGTCTTGAAAAGCTGGATTTGAGTGAGAACATGATCAGCATCCTGGAACCAAATGCTTTTTCTAGTCTCCAAAATCTCCAATTTCTGTCCCTAAAGGGAAATCAGTTGAAACTCGTACCAATGGGAGCATTTTCCCATCTTTCCAACCTCACCTCTTTGGACCTCAGTGGAAATAAAATAGTAATTCTGTTGGACTTCACCTTCCAGGACCTGAAAAGTCTCAAAAACCTAGAAGTTGGAGACAACGATTTAGTTTATATCTCCAACAAGGCATTCCTTGGTTTAGTTGGACTGAGAGAACTGACTATTGAGAGGTGCAACCTGACGTCCGTGTCCAGCCAGTCTCTGTCCTACCTGCATAATCTGGTCACTTTGCGGCTACGCCACCTTAGCATTTATGCGTTAGAAGACCAGAATTTCCGGAAACTGGGAAACCTTAGGGGTCTGGAGATCAGTCACTGGCCCTTTTTAGAGTACATTTCCCCCCACAGCCTTCAGGGTCTTAACTTGTCGTGGCTGTCTGTCACTCATACTAATATCACCTCTGTTCCGACCTCTGCCCTGCGCAGTTTGAGCCACCTCACCAGCCTCGACCTCTCCTACAATCCTATCTCTGTCTTGGAGTCCTGGGCACTGCGAGACCTAGTTCGGCTGAAAGAGCTGCACATGGTGAGCACCAACCTGGCTGTGGTGCAGCCCTATGCACTGGGCGGTCTACGACAAATCCAACTTCTTAACCTGTCCTCCAACAGTCTGGTGACCCTGGAAGAAGGTGCTTTCCAGTCCGTCAACACACTAGAGACGTTGCGTTTGGATGGAAACCCTTTGGCATGCGACTGTCGGTTACTGTGGATCCTCCAGCGCAGGAAGACCCTGAATTTTGACGCTGCCCCTCCAGTGTGTATGATGCCAGTTGAGGTGCAGGGACGGGCCCTCAATGCTTTTTCCGACTCTGCTCTCTTCGACCATTTCACCTGCCAGAAACCCAAAATCCGCAACAGAAAACTACAGCAGATATCTGCCCGCGAGGGGCAAGTGGTGTCATTCATTTGCAGAGCAGAAGGTGAACCGACACCTGTGATCTATTGGATCTCTCCTCAGCGACGCCGCATCACCACAAAGAGCAGTGGTCGCTTAACTGTGTTGCCAGAAGGCACTTTAGAGATACGATACGCACAGGTCACAGACACTGGGACCTACATCTGCATAGCCAGTAATGCTGGTGGAAATGACACGTACTTTGCCACACTCACGGTGAGTGGACTGCCGCTGGATTCTGCCCTCTTAGCCAACCATACTTATTATTCTGGAGATCTTAATGATACCAATCTGAATGATACCAAGGTCTTCCTAAAGTTTACTCTGGACCTCAAGACCATCCTCATATCCACAGCCATGGGCTGCATCATGTTCCTCGGTGTGGTCCTGTTCTGTTTCATCCTGCTGTTTGTGTGGAGTCGAGGAAGGGGGCAGCACAAAAACAATTTCTCAGTGGAGTATTCCTTCAGAAAGGTGGACGGACCTGCTGCCAGCGGAGGACAAGGCGGGGCCCGCAAGTTCAACATGAAAATGATCTAAACGGTTGGGCTTTTTTATTTATTGGTATTTAATCCTGAACACTGTTTACGAGCAGGGTCAAGCTGCCACTGGAAGTGACTTGTAAAACGTGGAACACCTGTCATTTTTAGAGTTTGATCAAACGTTTTTTCCTTCTTGTCCAAATTGGCTATATATGAATTTGTTATTGTGCGTTTCTACTGTGTGTGTTCACTGTTGTCAGAGAAATTTGGATTTTGTGTAAAGATGTCTGAACTTTTTTTGAATAGACTGTTAAAAGACCAAGCAACAACAGCACTCAGAGCCCACCAGTCTGTACCCTCTGACGTGCTCTTGCCAACTCAGTCCTGCTTCCAAACGAGGACTTCACCTCTCTGCTCCATCAAGCTCTCTGTCTCCTGTCTCCATGATAACCAGGGTGGTGCTCAATGATTGCCAAGGACTTGCCAATTTCTATTTAAATAGTGCTAGCAATGTACTGCATAAACACAGACCTAAGAGTACTGCAGTGACATATACCATTTATGTATAGATATACTGTATATATAAATGTACACATATATATATATATACATATATTTATGTGTGTATATACATATATTTATATATATACAGTATATATATTTATATATATATCTAGACAGAAATATATGTATAAATATATATATATATGTGTATATGTTGTATGTATTTATACAGTGTGGGGGTTTGTGCAGAGTACATTCTATTCCAAGTCTGTCTTTTACAACACTGCCAGTTTGACTGTAGAGCTTCACGTAGAAATCACTTTCAGTGCAAAGCCATGGTGGAGCGAGGTCGCATGCCTCCGGTTGGACGTGTTCCAAACAAACTGTGACTGTAACAGGTTAAGCTATAAATTTAGGACCACGCACAATCCACGTTCAATATTAGAAATGGAAATAGCCATGTTTTTTTTCCCTCTCTGTTGGCTTGGATGTAATTCTATAAATGGAAGTCTGTGGAAATATCAATCTACTACCCACTGCTCATGCAAAAATGGCTTGATCTTCAAAAACAAAAAACATGGCTTTTATAAAGGAGCCTGTTTTTGTCTCCTCGGTCTTACACAATGTGTCATCTAATTTTCTCTGAATAGCATTGCCTTTTTAAAGTCATTACATTTTTTATGGAACACATAAAGCCAGTGATTGAGACCATAAACTCCTGATTTGAAAAATATTTTATTGAAGTCATGAGCTGAATGAGAAGTAGCCTGTTTTTTCGTAGATCTCAGTCATATTGAACTTAAACAAATTGAAGATTTTCTGTTCACCCTGTGCTCGGTGTCTATGTCAATATCCCATGTACAGTTAAAGGCCAGAGATGCACTGCAGTGGCAGCAGCATGTCGAAAGTCCAGACATCACACGTTTTAAGACATCAACTTTAACCAACGGTACGTCCAACTTTGTGATAAAATACTTTCTCCTCACAGTTTCTATCTTATGTGTATTTTTCAGACTCAAACTGATGTCAACAGAACGTTGATGTCAGTTGATGTCGGTTATTGCCATTTTAAGAGATAAACAGAACAACAAAACATTGCAGCAGAGATGCAGCTGTGATGCTGCAGTGCAGAGGTGGGAAACACATTTTCCCCAAGGGACCACACTGGAAATATCAGTGTCTTTTTGAGGATTTTCTTCTGTATTTTGCTGGACCAGAAAGACTATTAGCAGCAGGTAGATGAATGTGTTTCACATCTGTTTTTATCTAAAAAACTAATCCAAATAATGGAACTATTAATATGGAAAAATGTCAAGACAAACATAACACACAAACTCGTGCTCGGTGTTGAGATGGTATTTAAAGCTCCTGCAGTGTCAGAATGACATAAAGCTGAGCCATCATAAAGCTCCCCAGCTGAGCCGTCAAATCTCTTGGATGTCCTGGTCACAGTGGTGCTGCAGGGTCCACCAAACATTTGTTGACAAATGTCCCATCAGAGAATGACTTAACAGTGATCTCACACGGGTTGCTGGATATGGTCAGAGGACAGGATGTGGTCCGCAGGCCGTACAGTAGCTAGGTCTGTCCTAGTTTTAAACCAGTGTTTCCCAACCTTTTTTGAGCCACAGCCCACCAGGAAAAACCCCACGGCACACCACCAAACAGAAATCTGACAAAGAGTATATGTAATGAAATATAATAATCTTCTAGTTAAAGTGACCTCATAATGACTTGAATCTCGGCCTGTTTAGTTGAAGACAACTCTGGTGTACTGGCAGGAATTGAAGAAAGACACAAAGATCTTCCTCAACAGCTCTGATTATCTGGGGGTTTTTTTCCATAGCCGACTGCTGCCACCTAGCAGAGGAGTATTTAATTGTCTTTTGATGAGCAAAGAAAAGTTATTTGCAATAAATAAATAATAGTTTTCCACGGCACACCTAATGATCTCTCACGGCACACTGGTGTGCCACGGCACAGGGGTTGGGAATCACTGGTTTAAACAACAGGCTGCAGAACAGCAAGGTTACACTGTCAGTGTGTCTGCGGACTGAAACAACCCAACACGAACATGCAAATGAGCCTCGTTGTTCACTACACACACACACAAACACTCTAACCCATCTCAGTGTATCTGCAGTCAGAGTGACACATCTTTTTTTTTCATCAGTTGCTTGTATGACTTGTAAAGAGAACACCTACTGGGGTTTGTCCATTCCTGATGTGAACTGATCACACTGTATTAGAGTTATCCTTTATGTTTTTAATCAATGACACCCTAGTGGTCGTTTATAGTCATATCACTGAGGATATTTTACTATTTTACTGTGACTGTACTGCAAATAGGGAATATGTGCAATGGTCGACATATCAGTCCATCTGACGCAGACATGTTTGCTCACACAATGCACTCCAAAGGGTGTTCACGTTCCAGTTCCCTTGCCTATGTCTGGCTGTATAGTAAGGTGAGAGTATGGAGGCATGGCTGGTCGGCAGTGGAAGGAGTGAAGTCACTCTTCGTCAGGGTCTCGGCCTGTTTATAGACACGCAGAGAAAAATGCTAATGTGATATGGATCTAGTAGACTGGAACAAAGGTCATAATGAAACGGAGCCAGAGAGAGGAGGGCAGCTTTAGGGAAGACATCGACACTGTACCAACAAAGGGCTGAACGCTTCTAACAGTGTTAACCGTAAATAATATAATAAATACTGTTTGTAATAGTACATACAGATTGAAACGGTGGTTTTGAGCTCAGCACTGGCCGCTCGTTTCCCACTTCTTCTGACGTTGCTCTGCTGCTCTCTGTTGGCTATAAATGGAACTTATCTGTTAGACAGATAAAAAAAACGGAGACTTTTTTCGCTGTACTAAAAGTGAAAAAAAAAAATTCTCTCACAATGAAATTTCAATCATACCATATTCCTTTAACTCATCCCCTGTGAACTGCGCAGCAAATTTCACAAACGGAAGCAAAAGTCAACCAAGAATATCTCAATTTGTCACAATGGGAAATAAAAGTGTTTCTCATTGGAAAATTCCTGTATGCTGTATATAGTTTTGTATGATATTGTTTTATAAAGAACAAACGAAGCACACTGTTTATAAAGCATGTTGTATTACTGCTATAGTGTAATACAGTTAGTAGTTTTTAGTATAGTTTTTTTTCTTCTTCTTTTTTTTTTTTTTTTTTTTTTGAAGCTGTGGTCTAATCTCTAAACCATTGTGGTGACAAACTGAGAAAGTAAGGGGGAGGGAGATTTAAGGGTTTTGTTGCCAAATAAATCTTCACATTGTTCTCAGTCTTCATGTTGCATTTATGTGTATATATGTTCTGAAATACATTAATGGTATATAGTTCAGATTAATTATTTATCATGTGCTTTAAACGTGAAAAGAATGCTCAAATTTATTTTTAAAATTATATTTGGGAATAAACTGGCCTCAATCCCCTGTATCCGGTTGCTTCTGTTCTATCTATTTTTTATTTAACCTATTACATAAATTCAGAGCTTGAGTTCTTCTTCTTTTAGTGTGTGTGTGTGATTGTGTGTGTGTGGTAGGGGGGTTCACAGAAAGGTTCAGTGCACCCTGACACATCAGATAAGCACTAAGTGTCAGTCTCTTGTGACACTAATGCAAGCAAATGCAGTAAGAAGTGCGTCATCTGACCACATGGGGGGTGGGGGACTTTGCTGAGCCTCTACTCACTGAGCCACCAAGATCTGTACTGGGGGTCTGCAGCCTTCAACAGAAAATGACCTCCTTTTTTAAAATGAATTTGACCACATAATAATATTCATCTGGAGCTGCAGAAAATTATCAAGAATTTAAAATAAAATGTGTCTGCAGTGCATTAGTTAAGTTTAAATGCTGTGGTCATATCACAGAAGTGTGTAGAATTACACAAACAAATCAGTTCTTTCATTGTTTTACCTGTCATAACACAAGAAATCACAAGATGCTAATTTCTACAATGCAAGCTGCTAAAAATGTAACATCTGGTTTGGGGCAAAAGAGGACAGTGACATAATGATGTTTTTGTTTTTGTTTGTTTGTTTGTTTTTTAGCATCAAGCTAGAAATGAAGTGTGACGTGACTACAGACATGGCAGCCTTCACTGCCGGGTTCAAAAACGGCCGGTTAGGTGTATTAGTCATGTATCTTTTTTGTAAGAAGAGCTCAGTCGGCTTGGATTTTGTCCATTCACAAAGTATATATATGTGTGTGTATATAAATATATACATATATATATATATATATATATATATATATATATATATATATATTAGTTATAAACAAAACTAATGCATACATTTTACATTATTTGACACCCTAGTGCAGAATACTAACAGTGTTTAAAGAAGGGATACTACTAGGCCCAGTTTAACCCTTAAGGTCAAATGGGCCTTGTTTACCATTAAAGTGTAACTACAGAAAGTTTTTGTAAAAAGTTTATTTGGGGTTAAAATGTCCAAGGACAATACAAGACTTAAGTCAATGATTCAGTTCGATCAGTACTGCTAATAAGGTGAGTGTGGATGTTAGATCATTCTTCTTTACTCTCCATAATGTTATGACCTCTTCTCTAATAAACACCAAAACTTTACTCCTCACTGTCATGGGTTTTTTTTTCTGTCTTCCTGCCTTCTGCCTGTCTCTCCTGGGTTCATTAGTTTCATCACATTCACCTGTGTCTGGTGGTTCTGTGTTCATCAGTTTCACCAGTCTCACCTGGTAAACATACCTCTCTCTCTGGCTTTCTCTCCCTCACCCTGTCCTTGTTGGGTTGCTGTCACTGCTGCGTTCTCAGGTTCTCCACTGCACTAAGGATTATCAGGTCTGTTGCCCAGTTTTTCCTGTCATGATTTTTTTTCTGGTAAACTTACAACTTTATGATTTTATATATAGTTTATCTTCATTGTACTGATTCTCAATACTACCGTATACACGCCAACAATGAAAGGCCTTCCTATTCTAAAAAAAGTAGGTTTCTGCTGGTTGCCCACAAAACTGTAACAACATAAAAACAATGGAAAGTTAATGTAGAGGAAACATCCTGGCACGGGTAAATGTTCCGGAACAAATGTCCAGTGAAACTAGTGGTTTCTCTGGATTAAACTCTGAAGATCTGACCTCACAGAACACAGTACTCTCATCTTTGACAGTAAGTATTCACAGTGAAAGGACTTTTTTTTAAATGGAAGAAACCTAGCTATTTATAAAATGTATATTGTTTCTCATGGTCACACACTTCCACAGCTTAAAATAACAAATGGCACCAGCTCTCCTGCTGGTCCTGGTGGTTTACCCCCACTGTCTGCCCAGTAAATGAAACAACACTTTGAAGTCCATTTTTGGCTCTCTTCACCTTTAGTGCTGCTGTTTGATTGTCACCAGTGACGGACCGTCAGAGCGTCCTACACTTGGTGGATGTGACACTTTCCAACCACAAGGCCCGTGATGTTCAGCCATAGCCAATAAGTATCTTGGCAAAAGAGTGTGAAGAAAACAAAGGCACTGTGTTACTAATTGGCTAAACCTAGGTTTCTGTTTTATATTATTATTGTTTTTTTATTGTTTGTTTTTTTTGCCTGATTCTCTATCACATCCATACATAGAGTACACAAAAAAGCTTGTCCCTGAGGAATTTGTGCATGTTGCTCAGCACTTGTTCTTATATTTTGAGATAAACCTCACCAGTTGAATATCCACAGCATGACAGCTGGATCTATGTTTTAAAAATGATTAATTCCCTTCTTTAGGATGTTGTATATTATTAACTTTATGTTGTCTCATATGTATTATTTTGATCTGGAAGGCTTTTTATAATTTTGAACAATTAGTAAATTGATTAAAATTAATTAGCTTTGAAAGCTATCAGTTTTATAGAATATAAAAGCAAAGTTAAATGAATGCTTGAGTTTTAAAAAAATGGACGGTGTGAATCGTTTTCTTTATTAAACACACAAAGCAAGGACAAATACTCAGATTAGTAGAACAACCTACAAGATGTACAGGAAATCATTGTTTATCAGATGAAACTCTCGGTGAAACCTTTGTTATACAACGGTGTTGCTTTTTTTATGTATATTTATATATTTTATCTTTTGTCCCAATTCTTTTTCTCTGCACAGTTTCTTTCTGGACAATCTCAATAGTTGGAATTGGAGATGCTGTGAAAGTTTGGTGTTCCGGTTTAGGGGCCGCTCTATTTGTAGGTGATTTGGAAAGGTTGAGTGGAGGAGGACGAGGGCAGCATCCCTGGCACCTGCTGTTCCTCGTCCTCCTCATCTGACAGGGCTTTTGGAGGGTGCTGTAAGCCCCCTTGTACATGGGAGGGACAGGTGGTCAGGGGATTTCGAGTGAGAACGAGGGGAGTGAAGACACCAGGCCTGGTTCCACCGTACGTATGGAATTGTGGGTATCCTCTCAGGCTGCTGGAGGCAAATGTAGGAACATACAATGGAGGAGACAGTTGTTGGCCTGGCATCAGTGACGAATCTCTGCCAGTCCAGCAGTAGTTCCTCTGCAGGGAGTGGTGCTGGCTGCCGCCGTGGCTTCGTGTGTAAGGGCCGAGTGCAGCTGTGGGGTGGAGTTGGCCAAAGTGGAGTCTGAAGAACGTTAACTCGGCCATGAGCCTGGCGTTTTCTTCCTTCAGAGCCATGAAGTGAGTCTCCAGTACATAGTCGCTCATCCTTCTCTTCTCCCGTGACCGTTTGGCCGCCTCGTTGTTCTTACGCCGTTTCTCCCAGTACGTAGCATCCTTATTCTCCTCAGGTATGAACTTCCTTTTACGGCGTGCTCCTCTATTAACAAATTCATTCTCCGCTTGTGAGAAATTGTCATCTTGTTCTTTACGTGTAGGAAGGGCCTCCATGGTAGATAAAGTAGAGGAGACAATCAGCAGAGGCCTGAGAAAAATAGGAAGGAAAAGTCTTCAGCCTGGTGTCGTAATCTTAGTCATACATAAACTTTCATCACTGCCTTACCTTGTAATCGTGTGGGTTTATTTGTCTGTTCTGTATGTATGTGTGATTTCCTATTTTGGCAAAGGTTATGGTTTCCACCACGCCTGTCTGTCTTCAGACATGAATCTGAGTTGGGGTTTTTTGTTTTCCTTTGTTGTGCGTGTGTTTGTTTTTGAAAGAAAACAGTTTTTAACCCAAGGGTTAATTAAACTGAGATAAACTGAGCTGCTGGAGCTGAAGCTGCTGCAGAAGCCAATGATGGATGCTAATAGATAGAATCAGATCTGTTAGCTTCTGACCTGGACCCTGACCCATTGATGAAGAGTTCAGGCCAGAGGATCATAGGTCTGCGTCCTCCGTACCGCTTGGTCTTCGGTTTGAATTAGGACTTCCTGTCTGCAAATGATGTAAAGCTACAAAGATTTCTTAAAGAAACATGCTAAACATGCTATACTTGTGTGTATACTACATATATATATATATATATACACACACATATATATATACATATATATATATATATATATGAATATATATATGTATATATATATGTGTGTGTATATATATATATATATGTATATATATATATATGTATATATATGAATATATATATGTATATATATATATATATGAATATATATCAAATTGAATTTTAAGCTATCGTACACTGATAGAAATGTCCAGCTAGGAACTAATACCACCCCCACCTGATTGTTGAATGTAATGATCTGATCTCAACTGACTATACTAAATGACTATAGTTAATTTGCTGATATTTTTTTTCATTTAAAAACCAAAAAAAAAGACACTTTAGTTTTTCTACATTTTGAGAAACTATACCAACGTGTAAAGTTTGTTTTTTTTTAACTACAAAAATGGACCGGGTCCATGTGATGTGATCAGCGCACATTAGTCAAGCTTGACACTGTCGCTGTTTTGCGTTTCTCACTTCTCCCACATACACACAGCCTCCACTGAGGGCTCCAGCGTGTCATCACTTCCCCACAGAGACACATCTTTAACCACTGGACCTGCCTTGCTGCACTTTAGTCCTTATTCTTCAAGGCTCTAATAGACAGCTCAGTAAGAGCCGGCGCAGACTGGAGGTAGTAAAACAAACAGCGTTAGATTTTAACAGGTCGGTTTGTGGTTTGTTTAAGTTGCCTGAGAAGAGTTTTTGCACTCCTTACACAGGTGTGATGATAAACAAACACAAGCACAACAAATGTCCTTAGATGAACATCCTCTCACCTCCTCCCACACACCCATACCCACACATCACACTTTGCATACAGCTATTATGCAGATGCATTTTTTTATATCAACAGATTTTCCTGCAGGACTAATATGACCATATAGAAATGATGCAGAAAATCTCACATTTTCAGGAAAAAAAAAAAGGCTTCAGTTTCACATTAAGTGTCCTGAAAAAAAGCCCTGTGTGCCACATGACCTCTGTGGGGACACGGTGAGCAGATTTCTATCACACCAAATGTTTTCACACGTTGCGGTTGCTGTTGAGAACAAAGAAGCTTTATAAGAAAAGGAGACTGAGAAGGAGCCTACAGCCTGCGTGTGGCAGAGGATGTACGCAAGGTTAAAAATATTCAGGTGGGGCCCAGAGAACCCTGAGCATGTACCTATTTGGGTCTCTGTGTGAGGATATAAACTTACAGGCCACCGGGGGTCTGATAGGCACGAGTGGGTTCAATAATGAAAAATAAAACAAAAGTAACAGCAGGAAAAGCTCCTGCTGTGAGGCTGCTGGTGGACAGCTGTTTGTCACAGGATAACATTAGCTCGCCTGCTTTTCAGTAATGAACTTTCAAACTTCTTCTTTTGCTGTCTGTTTTCCTACACCTCACCATCTGTTGTTGTCTTGCCACAGGCTCTGTGTAGCGTTACAAAAATAGAGACGTGTACCTCGATGTACTGCGTTAGCCTCTTTTTATATATAAGTAAACCGTGCCCCTGTGGGAGGATGGACTAGAATGTTTCAGTTAGCACAAGTATTCCTTAAAGGCAGCTCCGAGCTCCGTGTAACGACACTGTGTACAGTACTGTCACACAAGAGAACTTCATCAGTGATCTGGAACAAGATGGCGCAGTAGTGTATATTTTTTATAGATACTGTCAAAGTACATGTAGACTTTGTCGATTTTTTTTTTTGTAATATAGACCCATTATTTAACTTCAACAGGAATGGCTCACAGATACTGATAAATAAAGGTTAAATCACAAGTAATAATTAATAAATACACACGGTTAAATAATAATAAAGTAAACACCAGCAGATTGGACTGGCTAAGATTGGCAGCAGTACATAGAACAGGAAACAGTCAATCCTGACATTAACAGTCGGTCAAATGTAACCCAGAGTAAATTAGTGTTGTTTTAACTAATAATTTACCAATAACCCTAACCCAGAACACTGAACCATTTTTCATTGTCATAAAGAGCAAAAATCAGTTTCTATACAACAAATGAATGCATTCAACTTGTGTAGTAACTGAAAAACTTGATTTCTGACTGAATAGCTCCATTAAGAAGTTTGACAATATTGTTGAATAGACTGTATTGTACCACTTTGTGAATTTTATCTTGTGAAATCCAAATATAAAAAAAACCCTTAAGAAATATGAAGTCAGACTCCACTTTAGAGAAAATAGAGAACATTTTCTAAGCTCATTTTCAATTGTAAGCCTATACATTTGTAGCTTTTAAAACACTGTTTTTGTAGTAATACTTTAACGGTACAACATGATACATTTTTGACCTACAATTGAACCAAAGCTGATTTTTTCAAATTTAACAATTTTGTCAAAGATGAAAAAGAAGGTAAAATCGCACTTGACCATGATGTCATACTAACTTTGCAGCCGAAGTGATGTTTAAAATAGTTATTTTCTATATTTGACCATCAAGTAATTTAAACCAATATTCAAGCTAATCCTGGGTTTATAAAATATATATTAATCATTATGAATTATCATTACAATATACATACATACACCGGTCTGAGACTGTGTGGTGTTTTGTGCGAGGGTCTGAATAATTGTCCCTGTCTTTAATCATAAATACAGTCCATAATTGGTTATTCTGCACTATTTCAGTAAACACTGTCACCTTGGACTTTTATCCACACAATTTGATCAAATACAAAACGTGTTTGCAAAACAAAATCTCGTAAGATTTTCGTCTTTGAATTTTTCAACGATCATAAACTTGCTGTCAGTGACTCTTGTGTCAGACCGAGGTCAAGGCCTTACCTTCAACTGTGGCCGAGAGTCCAGGTCAGATTTACAAATCCAAATATGCTGCCCTTACGATCAGAGAGTAACTGTCAGTCCTGCCGTCTTTCTTCTCTGCTTCTTGTTATTCTGTGGCTCCTAACGCGATCTTTTCCTCTATTGTCGGCGTGTGAAAAAAAAAAACATTAATGTGACTACCTTCCTGCATACAGACATTGCTGCGGCATTGGTGGCTGCGTTGATGTAACTGACACTTGAGTAACTGACATAATTAGAGTGTTGCATTGGATGGTACGACTGTGTTGGTTTTTAATTGTATTTCCTGAACTGTGGCTGCAGGGCTGTGTGTGTGGTTGATTAAAGGTGCACTACGTAAATAAATTTAGATTCAGTTTGAGAGGCCTTCGTAGGTTATCGAGACCAGACCATCGATCTAAAAAAAAAACAAACAAACAAAAAAACAAAACAAAAAAACCACATTGGCATTCACCTTTGAAACAGGCTAGTCAGATATTACTGATATTATACTGACAGACACGAGTGAAGGTTTTCCTTGTGCGGTTAAATTAGTCCTCAAAACCTCAGTGTCAGTTTTATCACATTTTGAGTCCTCCAGTATATTGGCACTCAACATTATATATGTTATATATTATACATAATATATATGTTATTATATTATTTTACCAGTGATTAAATTTTTGGTATTCTACCCTGTTTTTTTAAATTGTATTACATAGAAGATCATCAAAGATGAGAATTTACTTCATGTTTAATGAAATGATTAATGAAATGGCCATTATATTTACTGCATTAAAAAGTGATAATTACAATGTATTTTTTAATCAAGTGCAACTACAGTAACTGCAGTAATCTCTTAACCACTGTGAAGACGTTTTGGGAACAAATCCGTTTTTATTTAGTATTTTAAAGAAACTTGAAAAGAAAATGGAGAAGTGTAACAATGAGTGTAGTGTTGTGGAATTGCATCAGAAATCTGGATTTTCATGAACATGATGATGTGGCTGTTGTGGGCCATTTAGGGTTGTTTGACTGAATCTGCTGCTATAAAAGTGCTAAAGAGCAAAATCTCAAATGTGCAACAAATGGTTTCCAGCAAATATGCTGTGTAATACGTTGTTATTTAAGATACTAATAAAACAACATTTATATTAATTTGTTACATTTGTTATTAGTATTTTCACATTTTGCCACATTATGTGTAGCCTCATTTAAATATTATTGCCGATCAAGAGACATGTGAAAAGTCAATGACATAATCACAATTTTGTGCTGATGTTTGTATAGTTTGTCAATGCGAAACAGTGTCCTCATGTTTTACCATTAGTGACCAAATGTATAAAGTCTTACAGAAGGGAACAAATATGGACCTACATATATTGGTGAATATATATATATATATATATTATACATTTTAAAGATATTCAAAAGCTTAAATTGTTCTTACATGTCAGAACAATGCGTGAACATGCTGCAAAGGGGAACATACATGTTTTATTTTATTATATTATTGAAATTTTAAAAAAGGAAGTAGAGTTTTTTCTATTTATCATTTGTCTTTAATTTATGTTATTTTTTTATATATAGTGTTTCCTTGGTAAAAGACGACTCTGGTTCACGTGACTGGAAAAGTAGTCTTCACCTTTTTACACCTAACAGGAGAGTACTCTCATTAGGTTACTGCAAATACAGAGTATTGTACATTCTGTGTCCTAGTACACTAGAATACAGAGTAGACCATGAAGTGTCCACCAATTATACACAAGGCGACCATGGTGTAATAGTTACTGTAGATTTGGTTCATTATTAAATGTACGATTTTGGTTCATTTCATTTTAATTTAAACGCAGCAAGTGAAGCCTTCCCAGTCGCTAGATTAATTTACTATCTACCTTAATATACCCTTACGAAACGACGGAAGCGTCGCTATAATTATTATTACAGTATTAGTAAAAAAAAGTACCGCATCTGCCGTTTGCCCCGTTTATTGTGTGTAGGCGCCCTCTGCAGGTCGCTTTCCTGTCACCTCGTCTGCTGAGGACCACAGCGTGAATAACAACTCAGTTACAGCAACTTCACTTTAAACTACAAGGCAGGCAGTGAAACATCATACAATTTTGACAGCCCCCAGACACCTCCCACATCAGACCTGTAACAGGGAAAGATGGAGGAATATAATCAATAATATATTGAAATTAAATTCAACTGAGACCAATGTACCTATGGAAGAATGTGTTTTATAATTTTTTTTAAGTATGTCACAGAGTGAGAACTTAGGTAACAGCCTGGGGAAAAATCCCTTTAACAAGAAATAATTATGTCAAGTGAGCAAAAACAAAACTTTTTGGAGGCGAAAATGTGTCTAATGGATGATGTCAAACAACATTGTCTGTGCACTGCATTCATGACTGACAATTGCAAGTATGTGAACTTTCAGCAGAATGTATTATTATACCTCCTGTGATGTACTACCTGTATTGTAGTGGTAGAATTCTTGCCCTAACAATTCACCCACCCATGTTAGTTTTAAGACATCCATCTTGAAATAAGACATGCCTCGCAATGCAACACTGCTAGTGAAGCAGCTCCAGTGCGGTGACTACTGGATGGTTGGAGCTGGAGTGGTCCAAGTATAAGGTTTGGGGGGTGAGGCAGTTTGTTGATGATAAGACTGGGGTCTCTAGAACACCAGAAGGTCATCCCAGCCGATCGAGGAGCTCAGATAATGTTGATAAGGGACCTCACAAATACGGGCGTAGAAGAGATGTGATGAGTAAACATGGGTCTGACCCAGCTGTCATCGTTGGTGGAGACATTTTGCTGCTGATCATGCATCGCTCCTGGTCCAGTTTACATAGAACAAGATGGGACACAGCTGTGAGGCTGTGCTGCTTTTAAAGCACTTGTGTACCCACCTTCTCCATCGAGTTATTTGTTGTTTGTAGAAGACCCTAGTGTTCTGCCTGCAGACCATCAGTGGGGAATGGTAAAGCAGCAGCTACAGCAGCGGGAGTGAAGAATTCCCCTCCAGACAAAGCAGTTCCTGCAGCCAGACTGCTGTGAGAATGCTGCAGGTTGAAGAGCCTGGCCTTCAGCTGTGCGTTCTCTCTGCTCAGAGCCAGGAGCTATAGTCCTCTAGCAGCAGCTTGATTGAACTACATTTCTTTCTGCACCGTCGAGGTCGCCCGTTGTTCTTGAGCCGACTACAAGCAAAGGAACACCCTGTACCTGAGAGGAACTGTTTGAATCTCTGCTGCTTTTGTCACGGAAGGAGATGGGCATGAAGATGGGCCCAGCAGTGGCACTGGGGCCGAGCGCAATTTTGATAAAACTATTATAAACTTAATAAAATCTGAAATTGAATTATTAAGATTAGTCAGTATTTGATCCGAAATATTATGACCTACTGTATTTATCATGCTGTTCTTAGGTCTTGTAATTTTGTTCCGCAATTTAATTAGATTTTATAAGTCAACATTTTTTAATAAACATTTAACAGTTGATGTGTTTAATGTAGGCTTCACTGTATTCTCCAGTAAAGACTACAGGTTTGTTTAAAATGCTTTTTATTCTATTCTTTTCTTTTTTTAATAATTACATTTCCAGACCTAAGGATCAATGTGATGGTGGCAATTTACTTACCGTAAAT